CATGTTGGTAATGGTAGGGTTATCTTTGGCTGACCTACAGTGTGTTTGTCAGAGTCGAATCCTTTTTCAGGCAGTAGTATAGCCTGAAGGTATAAGACTGTGTCCCTCAATGGACTCCAAGAAAAGTATTTCATGGTGAGTACAAAAATCTTGTATTTAATTTTTGTAAGCAATGTAAGAATTTTTAATTCTTAATCTAATGTTTACTAAACCCTGTTGCCATAAAATATATTAAAAGAAGCCGGCTGCACAGAACAATCATGTCTGACAGTGAAAGGTTAGAATTCTTAATAAGTACTATGTGGCAGCAGGAGCAGCGCCTAGAGTTTTTTACCCTTCAGCCAACTGTCCGCTTTCTGATGGAAGTGATTTGGCTAGATGTAAAGCTACCTAATCACTTCCACACCGACTGAAAGGTGCCACCTTTCTGTTTGCAGCTCTTCCCTCCAGTGAATAAACCCAGAATCAATGCGCATTAAAGTGACACTAAGCTCAGGAGTTAAATCTTAAAAATGCATTCAAGTACCTTAGTGATTAACAAAATGTAGCTTATTTGTGTACACTCAGCTGTAGATCCTCAAATCATCTCCGAATTTCTGCTGACACTGTCCTTCCTTCTGGAGGGTTGTTACTTTTGTTCCCCATAGTTCCTGTGGGTGCTGTAAAGTAGCCACCACACCAAGCTTGCTCCCATGATAGACTATAACCAACTTCAATACAAATTAGTTAACTAAACATGAGATTGAAGTCCATCATGGGAGCAAGCTTGAAGGGGTGGCTACTTTACAACACACACACAAGGAACATGGGTAACAAACGTTGCCACCCTCCAGAAGGAAGGACAGTGTCTGCACAAATTCAGAGGTGATTTGAGGATCTACAGCTGAGTAATACGCAAATAAGATACTGTACATTTTTGTTATTAGTTCAGGTATTTGAATGTATTTTTAAGGTTTAACTCCTGAGTTTGGGAACTTTAAGAAAAGAAAATGTGAGATCAATACTTATAGGGCCATTCATGGTTAACTGTAAATAGATGACCTGTAAAGGCTTTTAAAGGATTGCTTATTATTATAATACAGGATTTATATAGCACCAACAGTTTGCGCAGCGCTCTACAATATCCGTAGGAGATTACAATTACGCCTGTGAAGGTTCTCATTCATCCAGGTCATGGTTTATCTGTAAAAAAGAAGTCAAGGCAACTGGACTTGCTGTATTTTTCTTGAAGACGTTTCACTGGTCATCCAACCAGCTTTCTCAATTCAGAATGACTTGTACAAAAAATTATCTGGGAATAAACATGGTGAATGTTGCTCCAATCCACACAATCTGTTAATCGCAACCAGGTGTTGATTGCAGTTGCATAATTGGGAGTCTAGGAGGTGTTCTTAACCTGCCCAGATGTGTTAAAACACCATTGTATGTGGCAGACAATAGATGTCCCTCAAAACAGACTAGATAGTGTTGAAGTAATAAAACCCCTGGGAGGTTTTAATTGGGGTCTGTCTAATGGGGAGATTTGCACTCTCTAGTGACCATTCTTCTCTGGACAGATGGGAAATGCTAAATTCTTCAGCTGCCAAAGAACAAAAACAGAGCAGGAATCTTCCAAAGGTGCGTCAACAAAGTGCTCAGTAAAGGGTCTGATTACTTAAGTACATGTGATATTTTCAGTTTTTTCTTTTTCAGACATTTCTAAAATTCTATTAACTTTTATATTATGGTGTACTCAGTGTAGATTAATGAGAAGGAAAAAAAAAGGAATTAAAACTGTAGTATCAGCCTGCAACATAACAAAATCGAAAAAAGAATCCTGTCCCCACAATGCACTTTTCAAGTTCTGCCCTTACCACCCTCTTTCCCCCTCCTTTTTTGAAGCTCACTGTATTCGCCTATTTTCTCCAGTTTCTCTGAGGATTGCTGTAATATATTGGCCTCCTGGACCGGTATCTCGCTTTCTTTAAGGCTTCTCTGCCTGGCTACTCTACTTTCTCTCCTGTGAAATACCCACTATCATTCTGGGAGACTTCAACATTGCTACTAACATAAATACCATTGCTACCACTGACTCTGATGGTAACATACTAGATCTTGTGTTCCCTCACCTATGCACTGCTTGCAACCTCTCCAACACCCCTTATCAGTGTCACGCTCACCCTGTCTACAACCCTAAATCCCCCTAATCGGCACACTTACCGGAGAATGCTTCGCCATTTCAACCTTTCTATTCTCTATTCTGCTACTGACTGCCTGACAAAGTCTCACCACTGACCTGGCTGCTTATGTCTTCAACAGCTCACTCTTATCCTCCCTAGACTACTTGGTTCCCCTCACTACATGCAGACTTAGGCCTTGTCCACTACAACCGTGGCAAACAGAAGAAACCAGAAATCTTAAGATATAGCTGCACTCTGGAATGAGTGTGGCGTAAAACAAGAACTCTACGAGACTTTACACTATGGAAAGCTGCCCTCCTAAAATATAATTCCTCCAAACATGCTGCCAAACAGACTTATTTTTTCACTCTCCTTACCCACCTGGTGACCGTGGTATTAAACCCCCTTCCTGCTTAGGCCTTTTTTCAGTATTCAGCGCTGCAGTAGTTTGACATTTATTTTGTCATGCAACGCTGTACTGAAATGAATTTTATACCATTTTTTGGGGACAGATAGAGCTTTCTTTTGGTGGTATTTAATCACCACTGCGGGGTTTTTTTCTTTTTAACTATATAATGAAAAAAGTACCGAAAATGTTGGGAAAAAAACTTTTCCCTACTTTGTTTTAAAACATTTTATCAGCACGTAAATTTTTGGTAAAATATAAAAGACAAGGTCATGTCGGGTAAATATCGAGCTTTAAAAATGCGTGCGCCCACAAAATCGAAAAAATTACCATGACTAAAATTGTCCATAGGCGGCATTTTAAAAGCTTTTACCGCTCATCAATTTAGTGTTATCACTCCAACATTTAAGGCGATATGTAACGCGTGGCTAAATGGTTGTTTTCGCACGTAGGTGCACCCGACGCATATTTACGTTTTTAAGTGTGGGGGTGGGGGACTTAAGACTTTTTGGTGGTTTTTTTTTTCCATTTTTTTAATGTTGTACTTAAATTTTTTTTTTTCACACTTGATTGCTATCACATAGGGGGCTAACAAGCCCCCTATGTGATAGCCAATATACACTGACAGGTCCTCTTTATAGAGACATCAGGAGTCTCTAAGACCCCAAATGCTGTAGAGCCGGCAAAACGCTTTTATATAACAGCCGCTAACGGCTGTTTAGGTTCCCGACGGGGTCCTGGTTGCGCGTGCCCTAGAACGCCTAATCTACAACCACCTGAGCCGCCACCTCAGTGATAACAATCTGCTAGACCCCTTAAAGTCCAGCTTTCACCCCCAACACTCCAAAACTGCCCTCCTAAAACTCACTAATGACTTACTAACTGCTAAAATCAATGGCCACTACTTCTTACTCTTGCTATTTAGTCCTTTCTGCTGCTTTTGACACAGTTGACCACCCACTGCTCTCTAAAAAAAAAAACTCCACTTGGACTACAGGTCTCTGCTCTCTCATGGTTCTCTTCCTACCTATCTAAGTGCTCCTTTAGTGGCACCTAAAAATCTACCTCTTCCTCTTTCTGTAGGGGTCCCCCTAGGCTCTATCCTTGGCCCTCTTCTCTATTTACACCACCTCCCTTGGTCTGTTGATCACCTTGCATGGCTTCCAATACCATCTCTATGCCGATAACACTCAAATATCTCTCCACTCCACAACTTGCCCCCTCAGTGTCCTTGTGTATCACTATTTTACTGACATATCAGCCTGGATGTCACAACACTTCTTAAAGCTCAATTTTTAAAAAACTGAGCTCATATTTTCTCCGTTTTGATGAGGTTTGATAACACAAGTATCCATCCCTTCCCCCATGCCAAGGTGCTAGGCATAATGCTTGATTCTGACCTCGCCTTTCTGCCCCACATCAAATCGCTATCCAAATCCTGCCATCTCCACCTTCGTAAAATCTCCAAAATACGCCCCTTCCTCACCAATGAAACCACTAAATTACCCATCCACTCGTATCTCGTCTTGACTATTGCAACTCCCTCCTCATTGGCCTACCACCTCATGAATGCTGCTGCTGGACTCATCCACCTGACCAAGTGCCCAGTATCTGCAACCCCCCTCTGTCAATCCCTCCACTGGCTTTCAATTGCCCAAAGGATAAAATTAAAATATTAACCATTTACAAAGCCAACCAAAACTCTGCCCCCAGCTACATCTCCAACTTGTCCCAAAGTATCACCCTAACCGTCCCCTCCGCTCCTCGCAAGATCTCCTGCTCTCTAGCTCAGTCGTCAACTTCTCCCATACTCGCCTCCAGGACTTCTACAGTCTCTCCCATTCTTTGGAACTCCTTACCCCAACCTGTCCGTCTATCACCTACTCTGACTGACTTTAGGCGATCACTAAAGACTCATCTCTTCAGGGAAGCCTATCCCACCTCAAACTAACCACTGAAATATCACATTCTCAAACAGTTCATCCTAACACAGCTACCTCCTCATGTATCACTTGCCCCTCCCTCTTAGATTGTTAGCTCTCACGGTTAGGGCCCTCATTACCATCTTGAATTGTATTGTAATGTCTTCCCTATATTGTAAAGCGCTGCGGAAAATGTTGGCGGTATATAAATTGTTTTTTTAATTTTTTTTATTCCAATTTCTGTCCTTCAATTCCTATATGGTGAAACCATTGTTACTATGACTGTAATTAAGCGGAAACACAAACGGATTCTTGGCTAGCATTAAACACCCAATAGGTTCTAATGCTTACCCACTCCATCCAAAGCCCAATGTTTTGGCTAGAATTAAAACGTGCATAACTTATGTTGGCCAATAAAGGGCATCACTTAAACTCCCAATATTTCACATTGATCATTGATTATTAATTTTGCTCATCGATTATTAATTTTCTATTTTACTGTTTTTATTCCAGCAAATTGCCTTTAAAAATCTAGTTCAAAGAAATCGTCAAACAGAGCAGCAAACAAATAGATCACCTCCATCCAATTCAGTTATACATTTACCATTTATTATAGTGAACACCAGCAAAAAGACTGTGATTGATTGTAGCATTTCTAATGACAAGTAAGTAAAGATTGTGTTTCATATTGTTCCACTTATTTATTAATGACATCGGGGAGGGTGTTAACAGCGATAATCATTTAAAAAAATAAAAAAAAAGGAATTACCTGTGTGTTTTAATTTGTTTGTTCTAATTGCAAGGGCAGAACTTTTGTAACAATGCAGTCTCTTGCTGTACAAATGAAGGCTCCTTTATGACAGTCTAAATAGATCCTGAATCCGGTTGTGATTCCTTATAAAGTAAACAGAAAACTTAATTTACCTTCTCTGAAACAAAATCTCCTTCATTTGTGTCTCATATGCTTCACCTTCCAGGCACTGCAGTCTACAGTGGGAGTGTTTCAGCAATAGAGACAGTGCTGTCAACCTACAAAGCCATGGCTAGGTGTGACCAAATGCCAATTGACCCAAGCTTACATGCTTGGGAATCCAGATTGGCCAAGCAGTTTTTCATTCCGCTGCAAGTGGTCACAGCCTACATGAAAGTGGCAAGCCTGCTCTAAATTCAGGACCAGTGCAGCATCTCTTTGCCGCAACAACACAGGATTGCGCAGTAGGTATATTCCACTGGCAGGATTAACCAGTATATATCAGACTTTGTGATGAGACTAAGAAAACCAGTGTAAGGGAACCCCGAGCCGATCCAACTGATGCCGCGGGGAGGTGTGTGGCGGAGAGTTCTGCTCCGGTGGGAGGGGGTGGAGTAGTTCAGGATGGAGGGTAGAGGATCAGTAAATATGTAAAATATTTCCCGTTTCTTCCTGTGCAGAACAAACACTGAATGATCATTACTGATAACTTGGTGTTTGTAAATAAGTGATTACTATGTCCCAGTTATGAATGAATAGGGAGGGGG